GGCATCTTCAAATAAGTTTCCTTCGATTGTTTGTAAACTGCTGATGCAGTCCGGCCAAAGTCCCTCGAAAAGTGTTGTGATGCGCATTTGATCATATCTACATGTTAATTTGCACAATATAAATATCAAATTATGGTCACTGAGAAATCAACTGAATGCTACATTCTAATCCGGTATTATTATTATTATTATTGTTATTATTATTAACCCTAAGTCATAACCAGTTCTGTTGAATGTTGTTGGCCAGTTAGGGGAGGGAATGGTGCACAGTTGCTTAGATACTGACATGGGATCAGCTTTGTCACGAAAGTTTTGTTTGTCATCAATATTTACGTAATTACACGTGTGATTGATTTTGAACTTTGATTGACATTTACACCTCGTGATCAATTATCATTGTCTGGCTTAAATAACATTGTAAATAGGTATTTTTGTGATTAAACGAATAAAACCGGGACGAACAGTGACTTTATTCTTATACGATAAGCTTTATTTAGGAAATGCATACAAGAAGTGTAGACATGCATTATTCAGGGTAGTCCATCTAGCGAGCTTCAAAAGCATTCCTGCTATCAATAGGCATAGAGCCCTGAAAACTCTTATGGCTGTTTATTTCAACAAACTTTAGCCAATGTTTAACAAGACTGGTTTCTAGGCCATCTTCAATTCAGCTGAAACTTTTTAAAATCTGAAAATTTTTTTTTTGTGAATAGTGTCAAGAGGGGCAAACGCTAATAGAGGAAGGACATTTGTTTGATTCAATCAAGTCTCTAAAGGAGAATAATTGAGGCCTACTGCTTGCCTAAAACCATGGTTTGGGTTAGACCTACTGTAAACAACCGGCCCTTGCCATATAACTAACAGCACTTTAAAATAATTTATTGTTAATTACTATTATTATGCTTTATGAAATAAATACATTCAAAATACAAGAGACAACTTATTGAAGGTGAACAATTATGCACTTTCAAAACTACTGGAAACCAAAGTTCCAAATACTAATAACAAAACAGTCTCCATTATGTTATACTTCAGTTCTAATAACAGGCAGATATACAAAGAACTGCTCTTATATATCCTCATCAAAAATACTCCCATTCGTGTAAAGGACTGAAGGCACTTTCGATCAGTGAATTTCCTCACAAGGTTTAAAATAAATTCACTGTGCCTCATCCTTTAACTTAGCTTCTTCAAAATTTCCATCACACTAGAAGAAAATCAATTTAAAATGTAGAATGTTGGATTTAAAAAAAAAAAAAAAATTTCTCCTTTCCACCAGTAGGCATTCATGGCCTAGTGGTAGGTACAAGTAGATACTTTACAACTTCAACTTACTAGGTTCACAGCCGCGCTCATCTGACATGTCCCCACAGTCATCATCCTTATCACATCTCCACTCCTTAGGGATACAGACCTTTCCATTCTCGCAGCTGAAGTCATGGCTGGCACAAGTATGATTTGCTGCAAGATTGTTCAAATAATCAATTTTTGTTTATATTTTTTGTTACATGATGCACATGATGGTGACTGTTTAATATACAAACTAATGTCTTATTCCCAATCATTATGGCATAAATTATTGTTGTGTCTCGAGAGCTCTTAACATCAACCCCGATTAATGAGCCAAATGGGATGGAAGAGAAACCAAACCAGTACCTTGAGTCTGCGGAAGAAAAACTGATGAACACAGGGGTTGACAAGCTGACACTCAGAAAGCAGACTCTAGCAGACCAGATACAACGCAGAGAAATTAAGCACATTGTGAAAGAGGTTTCCCTACTGTATGGGTCTTGTCAGCCACAAGCAACCCTGTTTCAGCTAATCAAATAGCCAGTGCAGCTAAAATGTACCACCTATGGCCAAGCCTGCCGCCTGACAGGGGGCCTCATAGTTATTTATATCTGTTAAATTCACTAACATACAGTTAATTTATAATTATGTACTGGCACGTGGTAGCCATGATGAAAGACCTACCACAATCCACCTCATCACTGCCATCATCGCACTCCTCGTCACCATCACATTGCCAGCGTGTAGGTATACAGCGAGTTTTATCGGCACATTGGAATTGGGAACTGGAGCATGTTGCTCCTTCCCCTGTTGGAACAAAAATTATCACATTTTGAACCATGGGAATATATGTATTATAACAAATCAAGAAATACCCTTCGTAGAAGCTTATAAATTAAAGTAATTTTCAAAAGCGTAAAGAAGGTAATCAAGTTTCTAAAGAAACTGCGGTTTTGTGAGGGTAATTAACAAAGCAAGATACTGTAATTTGGCTTTATCAACTGAGTTGTAAATGTGAGTTGGTCACTGTGATGAGTTTCTAAAGCTTAATGTTTCTTGAATGATTCAACCCTATTGTAAACAGGAAGCTTAGCAGCCTCGCATTCAAAGCACTGTGAACAACTGGGAACAAAATGTCGTCATGGGGAGCAGGGATGGTCATGTGCAGTAGTGAGAGCACTTGCCTCCCACCACTGTGGCCTGGGTTCAATTCCCAGACCTGATGTCATATGTGGGTTGAGTTTGTTGTTGGTTCTGGTCCTTGCTCTGAGGGTTTTTCTTTGGGTCCTCCGGTTTTCCTCCCTCCACAAAAACCAGCATTCCAAATTCCAATTCGATCTGGAAACTGGATAAGAAGAGCCACCCAGTGGAACGTCCATTGCAAAATTACTTATTCATATTTAGTTATTTATTTATCACCTGGCCAATCTCTTGTTGCAAGGAACGTGCCTTCTTTGAGGTACCCTCTTTTTGCTGCTTCACTTGAAATTTCAGCCTAATTTCTAAGCAACAACCCTGCACTTCTGCATTATGATTTAAGGTCACCAAATTGCAACATTGAAAAAGGTGGGCTTGGAACACTGCCTCAACTTCAAGTCCAGTATAAAGACACCAATTTATTTATACACTCTGACAAATAAATCTCAAACTCACAACAATCTTTTTCGTCTTCACCACCAAGACAGTCAATGTCGTCGTCACACTGCCATGTTTTAGGTATACACCTATTATTACATGCAAACTGTAGTGACGAACAAGTCACTAAACCTGAAAAAGAACCACATTCAAAAGTTTGAAATGCAAGTACCACAATTGTACTTTGTGTCACCTTACATTTAACTTTAACTACCAAGGTCTGATAATTACCATAAATCCTCTAATAAGCGCCCCCCCCCCCCCGGGCTTATTTATTTCAGGTACCTTAGGGGGTGGCTTATTACAGTGGGGCTTACTAATTTAGAACTCAATAAAGAACTTAATTTTGTGGTCTAACTCTCTCAATCGACCTTGTTTAGCCATGTTATATTTTTAGCATCGCTCTGTAATTTCGTTATACAGTATTCTATTGATGCCAACATGATAACATCAATCAATCTATCACCATAATCAATTTTAAATGACAAACTAAAATCATGGTACTTGAATAAATTTATTGTACTTACTAATATGGAGTGTTATTTTGAATTTTTTGTTTTTTGAGGGGGAGGGGTGGGGGGGCTTAATAAAGGGGGGGCTTATTAAATTTCTTCCTCTAAAGAGGGGAGCTTTACTAGAGGGGGGGCCTTATCAGAGGATTTACGCAATTCTCGGTGCTAGCTACTACACATTTCCTTGCAAATTTATAGTTACAAGAATTTGGTGTAAGATCAAGAACTTATACCTGATAAGTATCAGTATTCCCATTACCTGTTTGCTGGATAATGTGTGGATGATTTAGGGAGAAGTTAAACATTAATCACTTTTAGGAGTTAAATAGTTGACAGATATGGAGGCCAAAAATTATTCTAAAATTTTGTAAAACTTACATCACTTGAAGTTCACATAGGTGACTCTATCTGGTGTGTATTTTGGTCATGATTATAATAATTATTGCATGACAATTTTTGTCAAAAAATCCACTTACTTACCTATAACATGAGATAAATTAATGTGATACTTGGAAAAAAGTTTTGCTGACTTTTATTTGAATCTGACTGGTCGATTGAAAAGAACACACAAGAGAACCTCAAAACCATTGACTTATTACCACTTCTGCTTGCAGTGCACCTGATTTTTCCTCTTCACTGGCACACACATAAACACAAAAAAAAATCCCGCAAATAGTTTTCAGGGTTTTCTGGCCAGCAGATAAAAACTTGCTACACTGTACCTTCAATTCTGAGCTACCTAATTGTTGTAAAATAATGTAAGTTGTGAACATTAAACTGAGACCCCAGGAAAGAGCTATTATCAGTCATCTACTCCAAACACTGACCATCTACTCCCTGACTTATTGAGAACCCTGTTTATTACATTCAGATCATTCTGAGTATTGTATTGTAATCTTTATTTAGACACGATCAATTCATCAGCCTATAAAAATACATATCACATACCCTAAGATATTTAAAATTAAAACTACATACTATAACACTAAAGCTGTTTTCCGTGAATGCCGTGCGTTAGACTTTAAAAATGTCATTGATCTTACATTAAATAACCCTCAGAGACTCTGTGTTACATTTTTATTGGAAAAAAAAAAGTAAACTAAATAGAAAAAGATGATAACATGTAAAAATGTAAACAACTAACCACAATTTGCTTCGTCGCTGCCATCAGGACAGTCAGGCTCCTCGTCACATTTCCATGACTTATCTATACAGCTTCCATCATTACAGCGGAACTCAGAAGGATGACAGCCATTGCCTGCAAAGATACCATGAAGTTCACTTGTAAGTTATACATTACACCTGTTTGATTTGACATTAACTGAGTGGAGGTGAAAGGTGTCAATTAAGTAATTCTCATATCAGAGTCACGCAAATGCACCCAGTACCGTAAATGGATTAATCCTCTTAAGGCAGATAGAATAAAGAAATTGATTGTCAGCTGGATCTTCAAACAAATTCCCTAATCCATAAAAATGAGAATTTACAGAGAACAGTAAAGAAGAATATGCATATTAAAAGAGAAAGAGATGTTTTTTATCTTGCCATGAGCAGTTGAGACAATGAAAAAATTATGAGTCCCCATAAGGAATCAATTACCCTCAGACTATGCACTATGATGCTCTACTACTGAGTCCCCCAGAGACTCCATGGTAAACAAGGTCCATTACAAAGTTCATATTATGGCTAGCATGATCCTGCATACTACTTAAGGAACACAATGTTAGGGTGTAAAGCATTCAACAAGAAAGAGAGAGACTCAGATACTAATAATTTAGGGATCATATCTCTGTGGGCTTAGACCAACCACAAAAAGAACCCTATAGCAACCTGCAAAGAAAACTTTCAACCCACAGAGAAGGACTGCATTAAAGAAGGAAGCAAAGATACACCACTGCCTTTTTTTTTTTTTTTTTGACAAATGGGGTCCTGAAGTGATACAGAAACCAGAAACCAAAGAACTTTTTCATCCATGCAAAAATTTGTCTAACTGCTGATGACAAAGGCAAAATATAAGAGAATGTTGCCCTTGTGCTGTGAATGCTTTCTTAAAATAGCACTTGACAATATAATTAATTGTAACATATATCCATATAATAAAAATAATGACAAAAAAAGAGATCATCTGATTTAAAGAAATAAAACAAAGTAAATTAACCTGCTGTTGGATAACATGAAGGTAAGATATAATTGTACACCTTGCAAACATCTATGAATGTTTCAATTAGAAATGATGACTAAACTACAATTTGGTCAAATACATTTTAAACAGACTTGTATGCAAAGAAAACAAACATAGATTGGTCAATATCATTTGTCAATAATTAATATGCCACATACACAATGCAAATTCATAATTTCTGCAGCTGTCAAAATCATAGTGATTTTCAAACAAGCAAGCATGATTTATAATCTAATCTGTTTTAAACGCGCATTAACTTTTTGCATATGAAGGTATTCTGTAAATTCTACCAAAAGAGAGCAAAATATTCATAATGAGTGTGTAATTCTTATAGTTTTCTTGAGTTTACAGACAACAACAACAACAACAACAACAACAACAACATTGACTTTATTTTTTAAAATGAAAGAAATAAAGGCTTTTGTAGCCCGCAGTTAGCAAAGCTATTCTAGGCGGGCTACATAAACAGACACTGTATAGGCTCTCACACACACACACACACACACACACACACACACACACACACACACGCACACACACGCGCACACACACGCAACAATGAAATAAATAAATAAATGAGCAAATAAAAACAAATAATAAATAATAGTCGTGATAATCAAGTTAAAGGTTTTAACTGAGCCAGTCACACAAGGGAGTTTCTAACAGGTCAAAGAGAAAGCTAATCAGTTGAAATACAAATATAAGCTAGAAAGGTCAAGGTAGCACAAGTCAACATTCATCTCCTCAATTTCAAGAATTTTCAAAAGCAAGTGAGTTAGCTCACGTTTAAAAGGTGCTTTCTTTAGCTTACGAATTTCAGGGGGGATGCCATTCCATATTTTCGCACCAACTCTAGAAAAGGAAAACAACTGATGATTTGTTCTCGCCTGTTTTATATAAAAGCTTCCAGCTACTGAGAAACGAGTAGAGTAGGAATGAACCTGTTCAGACTTTCTTTTGATGTTGTTAAAATACTTAAGTTAACAAATTTTTTACATGTTGTTGTTAAAATATTGCCATATTATAATGATATTAAAGTCGCAGATACCAATTTTTATCTATTTACACACTTAAATAATTTTTGGGGGGAGCTATAAAACACGTGAAAGTCAAGTTGTCAATTTCGTCACGTTATATCAAAAGTAAATTACGGAAATTTTCTGTTTCATTACCATCTCAATTCTCGTTTATTTATACGTATTTCAGCTTTAGTATAGACAAAAACTTTTTTTCTGTTTACCTTTTCATAAGCTTTTGTAATACATGCACTTATTCACGTTTTCCTACACTAAAAAAATGGCTGCAAGGCTTCCTTTGCGACCTTAATTAGTAGGTTTGATCGATATCTTGAACACGTGTCTTAAGCTTGGTGAAGTTTCTCGTACAAGCGCTATGGGAATGGTAGGGATTATACAAGTCAAATTAAACTCTCTTGCCTTGATTGATAAAGAAAATCCGAAGAATACAATTCAGATGTGAAAATTGAGGTTGTAACCTTTCGTTAAGCCTCAACGTGGAATTGGTTACCGTCATTGAACACTCGCTCAACAACATATCAAACCAGATCAAACTTTTTGTTTCAAGAACATGCAGTATATTGCATGGAATAACAAAGAAAGGGACATAAAACATCAAAATCGCGACGATCCGACGATTTAAACCGTACAGAACAAGACTACACTGCAAAAGTAATTAACTTGGTTTGTTTTTCAGTCAGTGCTAAAGGACTAATTCTGACCTACCGTGGGCGAGTTGTACACAAGTCGACAAAACTACCACAAGTACTGCATAATGAGCAAATCTCGAAAAATCCATAGTTTTCGCTTCTTGAGCTGTTCACTTTCATGGGCTACGACGACATCGTATCGGTAAATGTCAAGAAGATGAGCAGCCAAGCCGCTGAGCTTCGCCGAAGCCAAAAGCCGTCAACCTCTGATCGCACCACAGTACAGCCACTCTTTGAGAGCGCGCGGGCTTTTACGTATGCAAATATACTCTAGTAAGTGGTGACCTTGCCGCTTATCACTAATAAATCTTTACAAATATAGACATCGGAATTTTCTCGCTGATGATTTAAGCCCAGCAAGAGCACATGCAATTAATAAAACCGTCATGATTGTGAAGTTGATCAACATCACACAGGGAATCACGCGGTTCACAGTAACTTTGGCTCTCCATACGCAGTAATTTCCATAATTTCAGTAGTGTTGGGTTTAGTTCCGGCACAGACGCGAAAAAACAACTTCCAATGAGTCTCGTGATTGAGATCGAATCGAAGCAAGATTTAGTAAGCGAACGATGTGATTTGTTTCACGGTCACGGGACGTCAAGTGTGCATTTCACGCTTTTTGGTCGAATGTTCTTTGACCACATTCTAAGTACTCATTAAGTTTCAACACTCATGTGGTCTGACCTAAGGGTTTTAAAACAGTGCAGTGGCTATCCAAAATCGAGAGCAGAAGTTCAGTGGAAATGACTAGAGGCAAGAATCTACAATCTAGATCGACTTACGGTCCCAGATGAACTGAATGGTAGAATAGTTTGACCCAGCTTACGTTAACTTACCGCCGAGAAAATAATGTTGGGGCATTTAAATGTCCTTGCATGCCTGACAAATTTCTCGATATTCGCCCCATGTCAGAAATCGTTGCTCTCAAAGATGTCCGTACCGTGCAAGGCTAGAAAGGGGGTCCGATCGATAGCCTTTGACAAAACTTTGCCCTTCACAGCACAGCGCAAACTTAAGGTTAATGATTAATGATACAATTCTGACGATATAGCGACTAACGGAGGAATAGTTTTAACATTTTGAAAGTTTGTTGGCGACATCTGAAGTGAGTTATCCTTAATTAAGAAAAAAAGACAAAAGCTAACTGACAATGATATTTAATAATAGGCACTAAAATAGAAGCACCATTCCGCTATTCAGAAAGAACGATATCTGGAGCATTCCTCTTTTAAAGGGGGCTTTTTACGTAAATTAATCTGTGAGATTGGCAAATTTCTCTACAAAGTTTTTCACCACAAATATGCCTGAGATCTGGAATATTGTCTACCATATGATTATCTAATCAGAGCAATCGCGTTCTTGCTATCTTTATGGTGATCGATGAACTAATTTATTTCTAAGATTGTGAATTTAGTGAGCTCCACTATCAATACGAGCTGGTTAAGAAAACCATTATAAATTGAACTTCACCTTCTTGGAAGGCTACGACCAGATGCCACGCCTTATTTTAAAGGTTTTTTTGGATATTCCTCGACCAAGTTTTCGCTCGGTCATGCCATCGCCCTCCTTCGTAAGACACAGAACTGCAAGGATGGCCTGTAGACTGACGATCGACCAGAATGGCCCGTTTAGAGGGAGAAATAACAAACGCTGCTCAAATTCAAAGGAACTTGCATGGCTTAAGGTTCGCTCGACTCATAGCGTTCATTTGGAGAAAGTTTTTGCTTGGAGTTAGCGGAATGAATTCTTGTCCTCGCGTCGCGAAACTCCATGTCGAATGACAAGCCGAGATCGAGAATTTCCGCTCGTGCGAGAAATTTCAGCTAAGCCCCACTTAATGAACAAGAAGCAGTCGAGGCACGAAGTTTCATCTCTATAACCTAGACTGAACTGATTTACATAGGAAATTCTCGAGGAATAATAACACCGTATATATTATTCAAGTCTGATGACGTACTTTTAGATGTTTATTCTTATTATTTTCATTATTAATCTAATCAATTTTGTCAGTATGGCTAGTTCACTGTGCTCCTTTAATGTCATTTACGAATTGGTGTCGCATAATGATAAGTTGTCAGCTGGAATTTTGCTGCACGATTATATTCCCTAACTATAGTTTCAGTCTTTAGTAGGTTGTTATCTGGATCTTAAAATATTCCCTCCTATTTGTAATCAAGACTGAGATCACGAGGGGATAGATATATGTTACTGGT